ATCAGCTGAGAAGCCGATCTACTTAAAATGAGAGTACATGCTTTTAGTTATGGCTACTTCATGATAACATTAGGTGTGCAAGGAAGATGGGCGTGCTGGTGCTAGGTGATGAAATGCTCTAGTACAGCACTTCTCAAATCTTTCTACTAAAGCATGTCAGGCAACACTGGTCAGAGAACATGGGGCATTTGAAGATATGTTTTTGAAACTCAAAGTTTTATCTTAAATGATCACAAATTGAACTTTTTTTCCACATGGATAAAGATTTAATGCAAATGTAAATAAAAGTAAATAACATAGGAGAATTTTCCAGATTTCTTCCAGTCTTCTCTGTTAACTTTTAATAGACAATCTGTTTTCACCAGACCAGCTTCTCCCCTAAGTCCTCTAAGAAAATACTGTCTTCTCCTTACTGACAGGACAGAGTAGAGAGACCCACCTAGAGACATAGAAAATGATGTGGATTCTTGTTTTTTCAAATCTTTGGTTCTAGACATGGTGGTGGGGAGAAGAAAGCAGAGAAGCTAAATAGATCTATATGATCAAGAACCATGAAATAGAAAAGGGAAAAAGTTTGGGTGGGGTGAGAAATTGAAGGACCGAAGGAGTCAATGCTTCTGAGAGAATTGTGAAAAAGTGAAACCAATCACTTTCCACTTTGCTCTCAGAATCCATTGCTAATTAATTTGAAAGATAGCCATTTTGTATTTTTAAAAATCTCTTCATTTATTAATTTAAAAATCATATTACATGTAAACATAACAACTTATATTTATGAAAAATAACTATTTTTCCAAACAGGAAATATTTAGTAAGAAGAATGGCATTGTTTTACTTTTCTGTAAATCTCATTAATGTCTGGCTTAATAAAATGGCTGGATCCTTGTGTCTATTTCTTTTTATTTATTTATTTTTTAAAGTTATTTTTATTTGAAACATAATTTATTATACATATTTATGGGGTACAGAGCTGACAATCAGTATTTTTGTACAATATATGATGATCAAATAAATATTATTAGCATGTTCATTATTAAAAATCATAATTACTCTTTGTTTTCCTTACCTGATTTCTCCATAACCTCCCTTTCCCACCTCTAGTAAACAAAGGTCTGTTCTCTTCTTCTGCAGTTACAATGTATTATTGTGGTCTTTCTTTCTCTCTTTCTGTCTGTCTGTCTNTGGACCCACATAAGAGTGAGGAGCCAGAACAACTGAAAAAAAGGAGCCACTCAGAAGCTGATGAGTCATCACAAGGGACCGGAGAATGGCCCATCCCATGGGAAGTGTTTGGAGTACAGGTGGTGGGGGAGACGGGCCCACCGGGGGAGCACTGGGGCACAGCAAGGACAGCTGATCTGCCCCCGAATCAGCACAAGACCACTCAGAGGAGACTGGTCAGGAATATAGAATTGTATGGGGTGCAGTTTGATGTCAAGACTCAGACCCAGAGTTTCTACACAGCCCAGGTGCACTGGATCTCACAAGATCCAGGAGTACCTAAAAAGCCAACCATTAAAACCTGAGCTGCACAAAAAGCCTTCCCCAGGGAATCANTCTGTCTGTCTGTCTTTCTTTCTTTGCTCACATTTATAAGTGAGAAAGTGCAGTATTTCTCTTTCTGTGCCTGGCTTATTCCACTTAACATCATTTTCTCTAGGTTCATCTATGCTGCTGCGAATGGCAGAATTTCATTCTTTTTTATGGCTGAGTAGTATTCCATGGTATATATATACCATATTTTCCATATCCAGTCATTCATCAATGGACATTCAGGTTGGTCCCATATCTTGGCTATTGTAAATAGAGTTGCCATAAACGTGGGAGGGCAGGCCTTGGACATGATGATTTTCATTCCTTTGGGTATATACCCAGAAGTAGCATTGCTGAATCATACGGTGTATCTATTTGTAGTTGTTCGAGAAATCTCTAGAATATTTTCCATAACAGCTGTACTAATTTACAGTCCCACTAACAATGTAGAAGAGTTCCACTTTCTCCACATCATCACCAGGATTTGTTATTCTCTATCATTTTGATAAGATCCAGTCTAACTGGAGTGAGATATCTCAATGTAGTTTTGATTTGCATTTCCCTCATGATTAGTGATGTTGAGCATTTTTACCTGTACCTGCTGGCCATTTATATGTCTTTCTTTGAAAATGTCTACTCAGCTCCTTTGCCAATTTTTTAATTGGATTTTTTTTTATTGTGAAGTTGCTTGAGTTCCTTGTATATTCTGGATATTAATCTCTTGTCAGATGTATACTTGGCAAATATTTTCTCACACACTGTATGTTGTATGTTCACTCTGTTGATTGTTTCCTTCTGTACAGAAGATTTTTAGTTTGATACAATCCCATTTGCCTATTTTTTCTTTTGTTGCTTGTGCTTTTGGAGTTTTATTCATAAAGTCTTTCTCCAGTACTACTTCCTGAAGTGTTTCTCTTTTTTCTATTAAGAGTTTTATACTTACAGGTCATATAGTTAAAACATTAATCTATTTTGAGTTGGTTTTTGTATATGGAGAGAGGTACAGGTATAGTTTCATTCTTCTGAATATGGATGTCTAATTTTCCCAGCACCATTTACTGAACAGGCAGTTTTTTTCCCACTGTATGTTCTTGTTGCCTTTGTCAAAAATCAGTTGGATATAGGACTTTCGGTCAAGACAGCAGAATAGTCGGTCCCCAGCTTCACTCTCTCCCACAAATCAATCAATTTACAACTATAAAAAAAAAAAAAAACAGCCAAGCTGGGGCCACTAGAGTTCAGGGGAAGAAGAGAAGAGACCTACAGAGGGCATGAAGGTGGGAGAAGCCACAATGAGAGAAAGAAAAAACCACTCTGACTATTTCAAATCCCAGCTGCTTCCAGGCTGGAGCTGCTGAGGGCACAGAGCAGGAGCTGGCAAAAGCCGCAGCTGTACCCTTTGGATGAAGTTGCTTGGAGGCAGCAGGGAGAAGAGAGTCTTGGTGGCCCCCAGGACAGCAAGACCACTAATAGGGTTCCCGTGGACCCACATAAGAGTGAGGAGCCAGAACAACTGAAAAAAAGGAGCCACTCAGAAGCTGA